CACAACGCCCGGCTATTTTTTGGGCTGTCATTGTTGTTTGGCGGGTCCGGGCTGGGGATTCGAACCTGCCACCTTAGGTGTACGTGGCTGGCGCCCTAGCCGGTTGAGCTATAGGCGCCGAGCCTGATAATGTTATTCTAAAAGCATTCATTTCTTTTCTCAAGAGATGAATACTGAGATATTTAGGAGTGAAGTAATGACTTCACTCGCAACTTCCTTCAAATGACTGAGAAAAAAATGAAACCACCAACAGTATGTACACACTGAGGAATAAAGGGAAAATGTTAATTGCTGAATCTAGGTGGTGGATGAATGACTGCTCACTGTGCCCTTCTGTGTTCTTTTTTTTTTTTTTTTTTTAGAGACAGAATCTCACTTTTTCACCCTTGGTAGAGTGCCATGGCATCACAGCTCACAGCAACCTCTATCTCTTGGGCTTAGGCAATTCTCCTGCTTCAGCCTCCCGAGTAGCTGGGACTACAGGCGCCTGCCACAACGCCCAGCTATTTTTTGTTGTTGTTGTTGTTGCAGTTTGGCCAGGGCCGGGTTTGAATCTGCCACCCTCAGTATTTGGGGCTGGCACCCTACCCACTGAACCACAGGCACCACCCTCCATGTTTAAAATTTTTCATAAGTTGTGAGAAAAAAGCAAAAGCCTTTAGGTACCAATCACCTTCACCAAGTGGCCCATGGCTGGGTGAGGGACCTGTGTTAAGAACAGTGCCTGCCCTGCAGAAAGGTGTTGAGTTATATGGTTCACTTTCCCCATCTGTAGCCCCAAGGAAGGCAGACTACCCTCAGCTGTGCAAAACTTGACCTTGCATTTCGGCCACTTACCAGCATCCCATTCCAGCAGACTGGGGTCCTCCCAGCTGCTTCCGGCTGCAGTGCGAATACAGCGTTTCAACTTCTCTGGCTTCCCCTTCTTCTTGTCTTCTCCCAGGGGCTCTGGCACCTGAGGAAGGAAGGGGAGGGGTGCAAATGGCCTGGTGTTGGAGTCTCCCACTGTCCTTTGCTCCTGGCCCTCTTGGATGTGCTTTTGGGTTTGGGATACATGTGTTTGTCTCCTGCTCCCCAAGTCCTCCCACTACCTGGACAAAAGTCTACATATGTTCCTACGTGTAGAAGCGCATGGGCTCCAAGCCCCTTCTGTCCCTTCACTGCCATTTTCCCTGCTTACCTCAAGAGCCATGAGGCCAGGGGGTGGCTCAGGCCGAGGGGGCCGAGGCCGTGGACGCAGAGACAGGAGCTCAGGAATGCGCAGTGGGGGCAGTAGGCCCCGAACTACCTCCAATGGGAGGGGCAGGGGCTCAGGCTCAGGCAATGGCATGGCCAAGGCCAGTGGCAGGCTGGGCCCAATGACTGCAGGGCCTGCTGGGGTCCCTCCTGCGCCCACAGCCACTGCTGCACTAGCCTCCTCCAGTCCAGCCGCCGCTGCCACCACTGCCTCTTCCTTCTCTTTCAGGCCCAACCCTAGGCCCAGGCCCAGATCTCGGGGTGCTGCTGGCTCTTCCTGTAGGTAAGAGGAGAAGGCAAGGGGCCAGATCACAGGCTCAGACCTTACTTTCATCCCTACCTAACAAAGCAACGGCCTGGGATCCAGTGAGCAAGAAAGGGACACCTTGGCCAAGAAAGAAGTCTCTAGTCAGACACAGAGAAACACAGGCAAAGAGAAAGACAGGCAGATGGACACAGGACAAAAAACAGCAAGACAAAAACAAGACAAAGTTAAAAAAAAACAGATTTGGCTACAGAAGGAAACAGGAAAAAAACAGATGTAGAACGAGACAGAGACAGGATGAGCAAGTGAGGCAAAGAAATAAAATGCCAGGGGAGGGGCAGACTTAGACATAGCCCACAGGCCAGGACTGCGGACCTTCCTGTCTACTACACCTCTGACCATTAATTCCCTGTCCGTACTCACCAAAGGAGGTCTCAGAGCAGCCATGGAGCCCAGGGGGGGCCCTGGGGCCCGAGCCATTGGTGGCAGCATCATGGGTGGTCCAGGGGGTCCAGGCAGAGGGGGGCCCACAAGGGCCTGGTGAGGGGGCCGCAGGGCCATAGGGCGGGGGCCGCCTGCTGCAGAAGAGAGAGCAGAATCTGTCAGGGTGTTAGTGGGGGAGTTGGAGGGCTTAAGTGGGAGTTTATGTGACAGGGATGATGAACCTGGCCCCCTCACCTGCTCTCTGTAGCACATGGGGGATGAAGGCTGGACGCAGCATAGGAGCCCTCTGGGGGTCCACGGCTGGGTGAGAGAAAGAAATGGGGGTGTGTGTCATGGGGATGGGTGCACTTGGGGCAAGGTATGTGTGGGAGTACTCTCCGTATCTAAGAAATTCTGGAGAAAAGTCTGAGGAGCCTTCTGGGAGACATCTTTCCACTGGTTCATTCAGCAAAACTTTACCACTGAGGAACTCTTCTGGGCCCGGCCCTGTGGTGAGCGATGCTGGGGATATACCAACAGACCAAGGGTTCTCAGGAACACCCTGGTGCAGAGCAGGAGGGAATAGACTTCTCACAAGAGAATGACACACAAAGTGATCAAGGCCGAAAGGGGGAAAGGCCCAGGCAGATCAGTGCTAGGAAAGGGAAGCACAGGGAGTTGTCGAAACCCAGAGACGTGCTATGAACCAGTCAGGAGGACTAAGGCTTCCCGAAGAAAGGGGTCTGTAAGCTGAGATCCAAAGGGTAACAAAGAGTTAGTCAGGCAAAGGGTGAATGGAAATATTACTGGCAGGAAGAATATAAACAAAACCTTTTTCCCTTTCAGTTTAGTACAACTGTAATAGAGGAAGTGGGGGGTTAGTATCAGGAAAGGGTTGAGAGGTCAGCAGGCATTCAAGCACAGCCTTCTTGGCTGAGCTGTAGATGTCTTCCTCAGGTACTAGGGAGCCACAGCAGGTTGGGAAGCTGGGGAGGGTGAGTAGGTCAAGTTTGCATTTTGATCAAAACCATACTAAAGAGTAAGAGATATTAAAACTTCTCAGATATCATTAGATAAAAAAATATAACAGGACTTAGGTAACATAATAAACAAGTCTGTGAGTTTAATAGAGGTATCAGAATTTTATAGCCAAAGGAAAACATGCATCCATTCCATACATATAAGGAAGTAATGTCATAAAAATTGGCAGTGTAACTGTTATGTGAAACATAAGATGGAATGTATGGAGAATGGCCTGCGGAGAGGGTAAGGCTGGAAGATTATAGTGGAGTAACAATGAGCAGGGAAGAAAAGGGATGTCAACAAGAGTACTGCTGGCACATCGTAGCAATGTCTGAGGCTCCTGGAGGGCAGGGGGATGTGGGCATCTCTCTCTGCAAGGAGCAAGGTCCTATAGGGTCTTGAGTGCCAGGTGAAGAGCTTGGTGCTTGTTTGGATGGTCTGTCCATCCCATCAACAGATACTATGTGCCAGGTAAGAATATTTCTGTCTTTCATGGAATTTATGTTATTTGTGCTTTAGCAAAATGACATCAGAGTAGGATGAAATGGAGAAGGTGAGGCAGAGCAAGTGATTTAGGCAAGAGGCTTAAGTTGTTGAAACAAGAGTGCTTGGTTAAATGTGGAAGTCCCTAACCCCAGACCTACCTGCTCGCCGCAGGAACATGGCTTCTCGAGCTTCTGGACTGTCCAAGTGGCTCCGATCACTGGGGCCAAAGCCAACTGTTGGGAAAAGACACAAAGATGGTAGGAGAAGAATCTTGGACATCCCTTTTCACCAGTCTGCTTGATTCCCTGACCTCCTTGCCTTGCCACTTCTTACTTACCAGGGCCCACAAAAGGAGGGCCACCCACCATGGGAGGAACTACTGTGGCTGCAGCAGCTGCCCGGGCCTCCAGAGTCTGCTGGACCTGTTAGAGAAAAGGACAGGTGAAGGGCCTGACTCAGTGCCCCCTATCTGCCATGTCTGGCTCACTCCAAGAGGATAAGAGTTTCATCCTTTGTGCTGTGTAGGGGGCTGGCTATTGAATTTTGAGTCTCAACTAAAATGCTACTTCTAAGGGAGGATTTGGGGATCACATTAGGTAAAGGTCTCCTTAGTTTCTTTCAGTAGCAAATTCTCTTGCCACCCTAATTCCCCTCAGCACTTAGCCCTATTTGTAATTACGTCCATCTGTCCTCCCCATCTCCCCTCCTCCTTGGATACTGCTCTGATCCAAGCTACCATCATCTCTTGCCTAGATTATTATACTAGCCTCTTCCTTGGTCTCCTTGATTCTACTCTTGCCCCTTACAGTCTATTCACTAAACACAGCCAGAGTGACCTTGCTAACCTCTAAGTTGGACCATATCACTCTTCTGCTCAAAATCCTCCAATAGTTTCCCCATCTCAGAGTAAAAGCCAAAGTCTTTATGGTGGCCCTACAAGATCTAGTCTCCATCATTTCTCTGTCCTTATCTCTACTACCTTCCTCTTTGCTCACTCTATTCCAGCCACCAATCTCCCCACTGTTCCTTGAACATGAAAGGTATGTACTTGCCTCAGGGCCTTTGTACTGTTAGGGAAGTTCTTTGCTGGGAATGTTCTTCCCCCAGATATTTTCATGTCTTTGCTTAAATGTCACCTTCTCAGAAAGGCCTTTCCTGACCATCCCTTGACCTGTCTCTCCCTAATAAAATGTAACTCCAAAAAGGCAGTGATTCTTTCTCTGTTTTGTTATATGCCTAATGTCTAGATTAAGTCTCTGATGTATAGCAGGCAGCCAATAATTACTTGTTGACAAAAGGAACAAGTTCCATTTCCTTATTTTCATTTTAATAGTTTCTCTCTCTTCTTTACCTCTCCTAGTCATATATAGGTGACTAGAAGCACTTGAAATGTGGAGAATGAGAAGCTATTTAATAAAAAATATAAATTTCAAACAGATAGGAAACATTCTCCTTATTAAAGAAAGTTGTACTATACAACATGCTCTGGAATATAAGCTCCCAAAGGGCAAAGATATTGTCTGCCTTAGTCATTGGTCTGTCCTCAGTGCCTAGTACATAAAATATGTCACGCTAATTGGTCAACCAGAGGTTAATAGGTCTCTGTATACAAACACATACTGTATTCGAGGCATTGTGTCCCCTAACATAGTATATAGCTCAGCCATACCTGCTGGTATGTGTTGGTCGCGATAATAGGACGGATCACAGGAGCGGCTGGGACCTGCATCGCTTCGACCGTAGGGACCGTGGGCACCGTAGGCACAGCAGTTGGGATTCCAGTTATTGGAGCCCCCAGAACTTCCTGTTCAAACCTGGAGGATCAGGAGAGATACCACAGCTCAGGGCCTTATACCAATTCTGGAACGCTGAGTATATCGAGACAGCGCCTTCATCTCTGCCAATTCCTCTCCTATCCCCGCCCTCAGAATCCCGTAAGTTCCACTTCCCCATGTTAGAGTTGTATCTCTGGCCTAGCGAGGGATAGGATTCAGTGACTCTGAGACAGCTTTTATCACGCTTTGTAGAGGGCCTTACAGGGCCATCTCCGCCTCCATTTCCTTCAAGCGTTCCTCGCCACTCTTGCCCGGGATGCCGGCACCAGGGCCCGGGATCACCGGTCCTCCTGCACCCGGGAGTCCCGGGGCCGGCCCCGCCCCGGCCATCGCTGCCGCCGTCGCTATTGCCACTACTATAGCCTCAGCTCAGCTGCCACCGCCGACTCTACCGCTGTCTACTCTCTGGCTTCGTCAAGGTGGGCGCCCGCCAATGACGTATGGCAAAAGCGACAGGCGCGGGTCGTGACGCCACACGCCTGGGGTGAGGACCAATGAGACTTGGCCACGCCCTCAGGGAGAAATATTAGCCAATCAGAACATCAAAAATAAGACCTAAGGGAAGATCCTGGATCTATAAGAGCGCTGTGAAGAAGCGCAGCCACGCCTTCCTGGAGGGACAAGGCTAATGAGAGCAAGGGAAAGTCTGTTGGACTCATTCCTAATGTGGAATCTGGACCTTTGAGAAGGCAGGAAAGTTCCAAGGCCCCGCCCGTGCCACGACACGGTCCGCACCGGATGTTTTTAAGCAGACGGAAGTCTGGGTCAACCTCAGGGTTGGGCGAGTCTGGAGATCTTGCTAGGGAAGAGGGGGCCGGAGGCCAGGGACACCTGTTCTAAGGGTAGATAGACACACTCCCTGTAATTCCCAGAAAGACCCCAGACGTCATAGAGAAAGCTTAGAGGAAGGACCTGAACCAGGCTTCCTGGAGGGGATGACACATGAAGGCATTTGCTGAAGAAAATAGGGAAAGATGTTCTGCTAGAAAATAGGGAAAGATTCCCAGGCCGAGAGACAATATTCCAGTGCCCTACTCAGAGGGCATGTGTGTGGGTTTGGACTCTGTGTCCTTTCTTGGGACATAGCTGACCCCTCCCTTTTTTGTAGCCTTCACATCTTTTTATTATGAATATTTGGATAGTTCTCTCTCTCTCTCTTTTTAAGTTTCACTTCTTCGCCCCAGCTAGAGTGCCTCTTCATAGCTCACTGCAACCTCAAACTCCTGGGCTCAAGTGATCTTCCTGTCTCAGGCTTCCGAGCACCTAGGAGTACATGTAGGCGCCGTGTCCAGTTACTTTTTTGTATTTGTGGTGTGTGGGGTCTCTTGGTCAGGCTGGCCTTAAACTCTGGACCTTAAATGAGCCTCCCACCTTGGCCTCCCAAAGTGCTAGGATTACAAGCTTTGAGTTTTCTGGATGAGCCACCTTGTGGGGGGTCTATTGCAAATATTTTGAAATATCCATATTAGCATGAATAGCACCTCAGAATATTCTGCACTTCTGGTTTCATCTATCCTGTTTTTTGCTGGAGTATGTTAAAGCAAATAAATGCTAGACATTTATTAATTCTCTCATGAACTGTTAAGAGACATACCATACTCATGCCATTATTAATACCATCAAGTTAATTTATTAGTATCATCTGACACCCAGACCATGTTCAATTTTCCCTGTCTCAAAAATGTCTTTATACAATAGTATTGTAAAACCAAGATCCAAGTGATCTTTTATTTGGTTGATCCTTTTTTTTTTTCTGTCAACATTTTTGAGGATTACTAGTTAGGTATTTTAAATGTCTCTCCTTTGAAACTTATATGACAATTTCTCATCATTACATTGGGCTTGTGGTTGTTTTGAGGGGAGAAATCCAAGAGCAGTTATTCTCCAGTAACACAGATTTCCTCATTTGTTCCCCAAATGTATTTTCAAACATTGAAAAAAAAATCTGTGACCCAATCAAGATCCTGCATTGCATTTTGTTGTTAGGTTTCTTTTAATGCCCCTATTAACCTTATGAAGAATGTTGGCCAGTTATTTTGTACAAGGTCCCACAACTTGTAATTTCACCTACAACAGTTTTAGGTTAGATTTCTAAATGTGGGATTGTTTGGGTAAAGGGTAAATGCACATGTAGTTTTGCTGGAGATTATCCCATAGGTAGTGTTCCATATCATATGCCTGCTGATATCAGAGTACCCATTTTCTCAGCCTTCTACGGCCTTGCCAGCAAAGTGAGCTGTTAAAGTTTTGGGTTTCCTTTTTGCTAGTCCGATTGGTGGGAAATACATCAAAGTATGATTTTAATATGCTTCTTCTTACTGACATTGAGCATTTTTTCCCTGAGAATTGCCCATTCATACATTTTGCTCATTTTTCTTTTTAAAATTATTTTATTGTTGGTGGCACCCATAGCTCAGTCGGTAGGGCACTGGCCACATACATTGAGGCTGGCGGGTTTGAACCCAGCCCGGGCCAGCAACAATGACAACTGCAACCCCCCAAAATAGCCGGGTGTTGTGGCGGGTAGTCCCACCTCCTTGAGAGGCTGAGACAAGAGAATCGCTTAAGCCTAAGAGTTTGAGGTTGCTGTGACAGGGCGACAACTTGAGACTCTGTCTCCAAATAATAATAATAATAACAATAATAATAATAATAATGGGTGGCACCTGTGGCTCAGTGAGTAGGGCGCCGGCCCCATATGGAGAGGGTGGTGGGTTCAAACCCGGCCCTGGCCAAACTGCAACAAAAAAAGCTGGGCAGTGTGGCGGGCACCTATAATCCCAGCTACTCAAAAGGCTGAGGCAAGAGAATCGCCTAAGCCCAAGAGCTAGAGGTTGCTGTGAGCTGTGATGCCACAGCACTCCACCGAGGGTGACAAAACAAGACTGTCTTTAAAAAATATATATATTTTATTGTTTAAAAAAATTTTTTTTTGAGACAGTCTCCCTATTGTCACCCTCGTTAGAGTGCTGTTGCATCACAGCTCAAACTCTTGGGCTTAAGCGATTCTCTTGCCTCAGCTACCCAAGTAGCTGGGACTACAGGTGCCTGCCACAACGCCTGGTTATTATTTTTTGTTGCAGTTGTTTGGTTGGCCTGGGCTGGGTTTGAAGGTTCCACCCTCGGTGTATGTGGCTGGCGCTCTAACCACTGTTATGGGCACCGAGCCTAAAAAAATTGTTTTTTGAGACAGAGTTTCACTTTGTCGTGCTCAGCAGAGTGCATGGGGTCATAGGTCACAGCAACCTCAAACTCTTGGGCTTAATTGATACTCTTGGCTTGGCCTCCCAAGTAGCTGGGACTATAGGCACCCACCACAAGGCCCAGCTAGTTTTTTTTTTTTTTAAACTTTGCTCAGGCTGGTCTCAAACTCCTGAGCTCAGGTGATCCACCCACCTCAGCCTCCCAGAGTGTTAGGATTACAGGCATGAGCCACCTTGCCTAGCCTTTCTTTTTTTTTTTTTAAGACAGGGTCTTTGTTGTCCTAAATTTCTTTTTTGTTCTTTTCTTTTTTTTTTTTTTTTTAAAGACAGGGTCTTTGCTGTTTAGGCTAGAGTTGGAATTTTTCTTTCCAAGTCTGCCACTACACACACACACACACACACACACACACACACACACACAAAATAAATGCCCTTTTATGGCATAAGTTCCAAATATTTTTGCCCAACTTGTCATTCCTTTATATTTTGCTTATTTTCCTTTGCCATGCAAAAGTTAATTTTTACATAGTCAAATTTAGCATTATTACCCCTTCTTGCATCTGGATTTTGAGTCATATTTATGAAAGTGTACCCCCACCTTATAGTTTATAAAGGAATTCACTTTTGTGGAGTTCACATTCTATTTGAGGGAGACAATGAAAGATAAATAAAGTAAAACAAATTGCATGTTAGATGTGCCAGAGAAAAACATTAAGTAAGGAAGGTGGCTAAGGATGCCACACTCTGGCTCAGTAGATGAGGACAGGGAGGGGGACATGAAGGATTGTGCATAGGGGAGCAAATGTGGAAAGACTGGGAAAGAATAGCCAGGATTAGGAGGAAAGTTGACTCTGGGGGCCAAGAGAAGTATTGTAAGGAGGGAGATGTCAAATCTCCCTAATGTAGAATAAGCTTACTTCAACACCAATGAAATTACCATGTGTGTTTATTTTTCTTGTGGAAACAGGCAAGTTAAGTGTAATGTTCACTTCATTTGGGAGAGAAAATTAGCAAGGGACAGGGAAATTTGAAAAATAAGCACGAAGGCAACCAGCCATTTCAGATTCAAAGCCTTTATACTTAAAACACCCGGTGAATGGCACACAGAGTTAAAAGACAGAATAGGTCTGAAGAGAATCCAGATACAGCCCAAAGACACATGGAAATTTAGTGTATGAGAGTAGCATCTCAAACCAGTGGGTAAAGCTTTACTTTTATAAATTAAAGAATAATCCACATAGGCCTTAAGGATACAGCTAGATTAGTTCTGGCAAACCTCTATGCCTATGTACCTTCTACTGCTATCAACACACAAAATACATTCCCATGCCCTAGAAAGCATCCTCTTCTTCTGGGAATTTTAATAAGCACTGTTGGGATATATGTAAAATAAGACAAAATTGGTTCGATTTGCTAGGGTAAACCTCAAATGGCTCAGATTTCAATGTATTAAAAACTAGAAGACAATCTCATCTTTTAACACTATCCACCCCTGTCCTTCCACTGACACCAACCTCCTCTATGGCTCTCACACCAGCACATTCCAACTTGGGGCCTTCCCATGTGCTGTCGCTGCCACCTGCAAGCTCTTCCTCAGCTACCCTGGAGACTCCTGCTCCCTACCTTTGTAGAGTGTGACCTTTGCAGTATAGTCCTCTATTTAAATCATACCCACTACACCCTGCTTTTTTCCTCCATAGCTGTTACCTTCTAACATATATTTTACTTATTTTGTCAACTGTCTTCCTGTCATAGAATGTCAACCCCTGGAAGACAGGGACTTCTGTCTAATTTTGGTCAATGCTGAATCCCCAGCACCTAAAGGTGTTGCTCAGTTACTTTGGGTTGAAGATCAGTGTGATGAAGGGAGTTTCAGGGGTCGGGGGGTGGTCCAGGGTACTCTTAGCTTTGGCAGAATATGAGACCGGGCTGCAGGTATGGGTTGGGGCAGAGGGCTGACAAATCCTGGCAGTGCTTTCTTCCAAATGTTGTATTGGGAGAGGTAGTGTCCAGGTGACCAAATGTGAAATTCTTGACTCCTGTTTGGGCCCCTCTTCATGTGCACAGCTTCTGCAGAGCCCCCTGGGCTTGAACCCAGCGCAGCTGCCACTGGGCTAGAGACAGGCCCTGGCAGAGCTCCCCAGAGAGGGCAACTTGGCCTGGCTGCTCCCACCTGGGGAAGGGGTGGCATCAGAGGGAAGGAAGGTCTGGCCCTCCACACATCCATCCCCCACATGACAGCCTGCTCCTTCTCACCAGCCCCCTGCTTGAGTCCTGAATTTCTACCCAGCTAAGTTTCCCACCTCCATCATGTCCCCCTCTCACCAGTCCCCCACAGTCTCCTGCAGCTCAGGGATTCGCTCCAGTGTCTGTTTCAACAGGTTCTCTAGCTTCTTCAGAGCCTGCCCCAGATTCTCCTTCTGTTCCTTCTCCTGGGATGCCTGGCTCTGCAGCAGCTCTGGAGGTGAAAAACCCGGCAGGCAGCACTGAGGCCTCTGGCTTGCTGGTACCTTGCAGCCCATGTGTCACCAAGTTCCCACCTCATCTTGACCTCAACATCTCTCCCAAACCTGTCCCGGCTCCCAGGTCCTCGTCCTAAGGGCAACCCCACCGTCCCTGAGACCACATTCTGGATGCCTGCCTTCCACCCTCCCCCAACAGCCCATTCATCAGTCCATTTGTCCCAAGTACTCAGCTTCCCCAGCCTCTCTTCCTCTCCACTTCCCCACTGTCCTCTTCAGGCTCCCATCTAGGCTGTAGGCCTCAGTTTCCCACTCTGCTCCACCCTCTACATGGCAGTCAGCATGATCTTCCTGAAGCTTAAACTTGATCCTCTCCTTCCCCTGTTTAGAAACCTCCAAGCTCCTCAGCCTGGTATTTGAGTTTGCATTATATGGCATCTGCTCACCACTTCTGGGAAAAACTTGACCCATTCCCAGGGCGTACATGAGATATCACCTTTCCTCCTGGAAGCCCTTCCTACTGTTCCTCATGCCAAGGCTTTCTCCTTGGCCTGTTCCAGCTCTTCACTCTGGGACTATGACTGGGCCTATCCCTCTCCATGTGCCCAGAGCAGGGCCCAGCCCAGAGCAAGTGAAGAGTAGCAGCGTGGGCTGGGCACAGTGGCTCACACCTGTAATTCTAGCACTCTGAGAGGCCAAGGAGGGTGGATTGCCTGAGTTCATGAGTTCAAGACCAGCCTGAGTAACATCAAGACCTCATCTCTAAGAAATAGCCAGGTGTTGTGGCAGGTGCCTGTAGTCTCAGCTACTTGGGAGGCTGAGGCAAGAGAATCATTTGAGCCCAAGAGTTTAAGGTTGCTGTGAGCTATGACGCCATGGCACTCTACTGAGGGTGACAAAGTGAGGCTCTGTCTCAAAAAAAAAAAAATAAATAAATAAATAAAATAGAATATAAAAAAATAAAAAAGTAGCAGCATGGTCAGACCTTCTGGGTCTGTATCCTGACTGTATCTCATCCTTGCCCTGTGAGCTCAATCGTGGTATTTGCTTTTTCTTTAGCCACAGCTGCTATCAGGTAGAATTATCTGAGCTGCAGGATAGCGGGGCCAGGGGTGGACTGAAGGACTCTGGAGATGGGACCTACAGGGCTTGCTGACAGGTTGAAAGTAAAGGGTTAGGGAGCTGGGAGGTATAAAGGATAACTACAGCAACTGGATAAGGAGGGTAGGATAACTTACAGAGGGAGGAAATCAAGAAGAACAAAATTGCTTTTTGGAATAGACAGACCAATAGTTCTACGGTAGGTATGTTAAAGTTCAAGATGGTTGTGAGGGGAGGCGGAGATGCTGTGCTATGTCTTGATCTGTACTTGTCCTTCCGGTACGCTGCTCCAACCCTTGGAGCCCTCCACTCCAAGGCCTGAATAATCTCTTCTCAATTTGCTGACGGTGGCCCCAATTCACCTCTTCCATCTCTTTATCCTTTGATTCTTTGCTTCTACCATGGGGAAATCCCTGGCAATGGAAAACTCTCTCCTCACTTCCCATTAAGCTATGAGGGTGGAGCGTAGTGGTTCATGCCTGTAATCCTAGCACTCTGGGAAGCCGAGTTGGGTAGATTGCTTGAGCTTAGGAGTTCGAGACTGGCCTGAGCAAGATTGAGAACCCATCTCTACTAAAAATAGAAAAACTAGCTGGGCACTGTGGAAGGTGCCTATAGTACCAGCTACTAGGGAGGCTGAGGCAAGAGAATTGCTCAAGCCCAAGAGTTTGCAGTTGCTGTGAGCTATGACACCACAATACTCTACCAAAGGTGACAAAGTAAAACTCTATCTAAAAAAAAAAAACTACAAAAAACCCCCTAACAAATCCTGGCTCTGCCATTTGGGGAACCTATTAAGCCCCCTGCACCTCTCATGGGCTGCTGTGCAGCTTAGACAAATGAGTGAAGCACTTAGCGCACAGTGAGCCCTGTGCCAGCCGGGGAGGCTGACAAACCGGGAGGAGCAGGGATGCTGGGGGAGGGGGTGGGGCGGGCCTACCCTGGGTAGGTGGTCCCGACGGTAGGCTGTTCTTCATATGGACCAGATCCCAGCACCGGAGATTTCGCTGGTCCTGGAGGAACAGAAGGTCCTGGCGAAGAGAGGCAGTCGCCGGGAGAAGCAGCTCTGGTGCCTGGAGAAGGGAAAAGACAGTTACCTCGAACAGGGGCGGGCAGACAAGTCACAGGGGCCAAGGCACTCACCTTCCCTGGTGGCAGTCCCAGCGTATGGCTCAGGACTATGAGGCTGGAGCCCCTCGGGGATGCAGGGTGCAGCTGGTGAATGGACGGCAGGACTGTGGGCAGGGCCTTCAACCTGCGTGGGGCAGTCCGGGGTGGGTGGGGTACTGAGAGGAGGGCTTGGGTTTTAGAGGCTCTGGGGACCCAAGAACTTGGAGGCGGGTCTGGGGACCAGGCTAGGACTGGTGACCTGAGGGTGAGGTCTGGTAACCTGGGAACACTGGGGATCTGGGTGATGGTTTGGGAGGGAGTTCAGGGAGTGACAGCTACCCATGGCAGGGGAAGGGGGTGAGGGGGAGGCCCAGTCTCACTCTCCAGGGCTGTGCCGCAGCAGGGTGCCCAGCAGAATGTGGGGCAGATGCCGGACTTCTTCCTCCAGGCAGCGAAACCGCTCCTGGATCTGTGGTGCCACCGCCTCAGATGTGGGGACCACCTTTCGCTGGACTAGCGCCAGTGCCTGTGGGGAAGGAGAGAGGTTGAGGGGGCAGCCTAGTTTACCCAGCCTCGTCCCAGCTGATCCAGCCCCACCCCGACCTCTCCCAAACTCTCATCTCACCTCCCCGGGGCTCCGGCACAGGCGGGTCTTGCTGGCTGAATTTCCCTTGATGAGCAGGCGGACCTGCTCCTGGGTCTCCTCCTGAGGAACCAGGGAGCAGAGACTAGCTCCTTCCCACCTCCCAGCCCTCATTTGTGGCTTTGCACAGGTCTTGCTTCAACCTGGGAGTCTCGCCCTGGGCTCCCTTCTTCCCCGACTCTCGGAGGCTGTTCTTAATTTTTTGTTTTCTCATTTTGGATCATTTACACCAAAAGGAGGCCATTCTTGATCATAAAGTTCAAAGCCTCCACTTGGGCCCTTCGCCAGGCCCCGCCACCTCCGCCCCGCCGGCCCCTCACCACCAGCTGGCGCCAGTGTAGGATCCGCTGCTGTTTGGCCTGGAGCTCCCTCAGCAGAAGCTGCCGCTGCCCAGCTGCATCCTCCAGCTCCTGGCTCTGGGCACGCAGAGCCTTAAGCTCTGCCCGCAGGCCACAGCCCCGAAGCCCCAGCATCAGTGCCTGCCTGGGGACAAGCAGAAGATTGCAAAGGAGAGGAAGGCGACTGAGACCCAGCCAGGAAGGGAGATGAAGTCTGGAGGGATGCACAAGGGAGGACAAACCAGGGGAATGAACTGGGAGGGAAGGAGGACAGAAATGGAAGCCACAGGATGGAAAAAGTCCAATATTCCAAGAGAACTGGGAAAGACACAGCCTCTGCCAAGAAGGCCCTCACCTTTGGGATCCCAGAGTACGTCTCTCTATTTCTTCCACCAGGCCCTGGAGGCGCTGGGTCAGGACTTGTCGCTCCTTTAGGAGGGGACCCCTCTGGGTGACCAGTGCACCCACAGTCTGCCAACGCTCCTGGAACAGGAGTTCAAAGTCAGGGCGGGCATAGTCCATGGGGGTGAAGGGATCGAGTGAGTTTTGGAATGGGAGGGAGTAGAGTCCTGGGATCACCTGGATGAGATGCACCATGGATGGCAGGGTCTGGCTGGAGTCTGACTGGTCTGGTGCCTCGGGCCTGGGATAGAGGCAAAGCTGCTAAGGGAGCAGTCCTGGGTCCTTGCCTCCATACTTAAGAGTAGCCAACATCAGCTTGCCCACCACTTTGGGCATTTTCTTCTCCCATCAGCAGGTGTCCATGCCCCACTCACCCACCTATCTGCCCCACCCCAACAGTAGGACTGCCCCACTCCATACCCGGATATCTTCATATCTCCAACCCCATCCCCGTTGCACAGAGACTGAATCTCTGCCTCTCGCTCTGCAGCCAGGTGCTCCAAGGCAGCCAGGACGTGACCTGGGGGGTGGTTTATCAGCAGCGTCTGGTGGGGGCAGGGATGAAGTCAGGGCATGATTTGGGTAGGGCTGCAAGCGGAGGCTTCATGAGAATAGGGTTAGGATCAAGAGTTGGGTCTTGGCAGATGTGGCCTTTCCTGAGAGCCCCCACCCTCTCACCTCTGCTGTGCTAAGCCACTGCTGGTAGGAAGTTCCAAAGTGGTCATCATGAGGGATTCTGTGGGTTGGATAAGGACCCAAATAGTGTTACATGTACAAGACACAACAACAATCCTTCTATTTTTTTTGTATTAGTGACCACTCCCCTGGACAATTATCCTTCTAATTATTATCACCACCCTATAAGGTAAGGGCTGTTATTGTCTTCATTGTGCAGATGAGGAAACTTCATCTATGACTGCTAGACTTGAGTTCCCCGATTAGACCAACTTCCTGGCCTTGAGGCCTTTACATGTGCTGTTTACCTGGGACACTCTTTTGAACCTTTCCCCTAACTAAGACTTCTTGCCAGAGCAGCCCTCCCTCCCTGCCTTCTTAGCTGGGAGAGGCACTTCCTCTGGGGCTCCTGAGCCTGTCAGTCTTCCCCAGCTCCCAGAAGCCCATACCAGCTGATAGTCACTGTCTAGAATGGATCTGTCACCTCTTCTTCCCAGCCTGGAAACCCTGTCAGGCAGGGCTTGGAACTGACATAGCCCAGAAGCTCAGTGTCTGAGGAATAAACAAGTGATGTCCCCACCCCTAAAGCCCTGGTTCTTTGCATTGTCTCTGGAGGCTGGAGGACACTCACAGGATGCTGCCCCTCTTGGCCTGGGGAATCAGGAGGTTCTGCAGGAACTGGGCCCGGAGGGTGCAGGCTGTTCGGGTGTCACGCTAGAGAGAAGAGCACAGGGCATGAGGGTGACCTAGGTGTCTGCCTGACCCTGGACTCTCACCCCTTCTCCTATGGTCCAGGACTCTTACCAGGACCATAGGCTCCAGGCCCAGAGCTGCTGTCAGGGGTCCAAAAGTCACATCCACTTTGGCCTTCCTGAAGGGAGGAGTACAGTTAGGGCTTGAGTCCCTGGGAGGAGAAAACTGGGAGAACAGATGTCTATGCCTCATGCCCTTTCACTGCCAGCAAGGCTAATCAGAGGGATCAATAAGCTGGGATCCCAGGGGCCACTGGCACCTCCCAGCTAGACTATTGCCTTAGCCTACTCACTGGTCTCCTGCTTTTGCCCCCTGCCTCCTGTTCTAAACTCAATAGGCAATGATCCTGTTCAAACCTAAGGAAGATCATGTCCCTGTTCAAACAACCCTCCCAAACCACGTGATTGATGTTTTCTCATCACATTCAGAATAATAACAATGGTTAATAGGTATTCTCCTAAGCACCTTACATGATTTAACTCATGTAATTATTGTATTTCTTCTTTGAAGTTGGTATCAATATTATCCCAATCCTCTTAGAAACTGAGCACAGTGAAGTGAAATACCTTGCCCAAGGTCACACAGTAGCCGAGGCAGGCCATGGACTCAGTCTCAGAGTAAAATTCCAAAGCCTCCTTGGACCACCTCTGTAAGTTCACTTCCTCATGTTCTCCCTCTTGCCTGTGAAGCATGAGCTGAACTAGCCTTCTGGATCATTTTTTTTGCATACCAAACTCAGGACCTCTGCTCTTGCTATTCCTTTTCTGTGGAAATTCTTCCCCCAACTCAAATGTTATCTCCTCAAAGGCCTTCTCTCACTTTCCTTTCTATCATGTCACCTTTCTTTTTCTTTTTGAAACACAGTGAGACTCTGTCACCCTGGGAAGAGTGCCATGGCATCATAGCTCACAGCAATCTCAAACTCTGGGGCTTAAGTGATTCTCTTTCCTCAACCTTCTGAGTAGCTGGGAAGATAGGTGACCACTACAATGCCCAGCTTATTTTTCTATTTTTAGTAGAGACAGGGTCTCGCTGTTGCTCAGGCTGTTTTTGAACTCCCAAGCTCAAGGGATCCTTCTGCCTTGGCCTCCCAGAGTGCTAGGATTACAGGTGTGAGCCAGCACACCTGGCCCCATGTCATTTTTCTTCATGGCACTCATCTCCAGCTGTAATTTCAAAATTTGTTTGTTTCCTACTTTATGAACTGTCTTCTGTGCATCAGAGTAAAAGCTTCAAGAGGGCAGAGACCTGTGCTTTATTTACTCCTGTTTCCCCAGAGCTGATGTTCTAGATCTACAGTTGGCACCACTCTAGGCACTGGAAATACAGGTGACTGACATGAGAAAACCTCCTGGTTCTAAATCCTAAGTGTGGGAGCTCAGAATTCTGGAATCACAGAAGGGATCAAAGCCGAGCATTGGGGTCTCTAAGGAGAAAGTTTAGCTGGGTCACGCTGCCAGCCTGGGGAGTGCTGATCGCTGAGGCCTACCTCTCCATGTCCTGCAGGCGCCTGAGCTGGTTCTGCAGTCTCAGCGTGGGCTCTCGGAGCCCATGCTGCTGTCTTCGCATGGCCCCAGCTTTGGCCCGAAGGAGGAGAGCTCGACGCTGAGTGTCCTGTATGCTTTGCAACACCTGCTCCATGGCCAGGTCTGTAAGGGGAACAGAGGTGGCTGTCAGCACCTTTCTACAACATATTCCACTGACCCTCTTCCCAGCCCCATGGGTCACCCTGAGTCTCAGTCTCTCGCTCCATCAGCTCCAGACTCTGGTCTAACTCCTGAATCTCTGTCCGCAGGCGGGCCACAGTGGCTTCCAGTTCCAACTTCCGACGGACCTGGCAGGAGTAGGTATAGGGTAAGATGCATGGTTTGATCAGGGCTCTGTCTGGCTTGACTGCCTTTTATGGGGCATCAGGCTCCTCACCTGCCCAGAAGGTGGCAGAGAGTTTTACCAAACCAGTTTCTGTGTCTGACACAGAAGCACTAAGGCACTATCCTGGTCCACTCCTTCCTCCTGTTATTGCCTGACCCATCCTCCCAGGCTGTTTCCTGCCTGCGTTGGTGATACTATATCTCTATCCCAGCCCTATATTCACAAGTCCCCAGGCCTCATCTGGGCCCCTTAAACTTACTGGGTCCCACACTGGGCTCAGCATCTCTCTCAATCCTCTACTTTCTTCCTGCCCATCTCTGCTCACCAGCTTTGATGTCGTACATTCATCGTATCCATGTCCCTGCTTCCTGCCTCCCACAGTTCATGTCTGTTTCCCCCTGGATTGTAAGCTCTGCGAGTGCAAGGATCTTGGCTGTCTTGTGACCTGTCTATAGCCCTGCTGTGCGCTGGGCTAATGGCAGAAGGTCTGCAAGTCCTTTTTTTGGATAAAAGAGAACCTTGTAGCACATGCTTCTCACCTCTGGACTCTCCTGGTGGCCATACCTGAGGAAATGAGGCCAAAGTCAGGGGATGACTGGGGCTTCCAGAGGGGAGGGCAGGAAGTATGAAGCTGTGGGTGGGAACAGAGCTAGAATGGATTGGGGAAGACAGGAAGGGACAGCTTCAAGAAGAAATTACCAGAGTAGGTTTCCCCGAATCTTCCTGATAGTCCTACAGTAGAGAAGTAGAAGGAAGGGGAGTTAGTGTGTACTCATTTGGATCCCATCCCCTGCCCCAGCTCAGCTCACCTCTGACTGTGCACACGTTGCAAGACATAGGCCCAGATGTCAGCCCCCTGGCCCAGACACAGCCTGTGGGGACAGTGTGTAAGGGTATGTCTCAGGCAGCAATAGGGTGGAGGATCCTCATTCCCGGGGTGATGGTAATAGGGAAAATCTACCAAGGAGCTCATTTCTCTGGGAGGGAAGACCCATAGTTTTAGGGGCTAGATATTCCCACCTGGTGAGCTCTTAGTCACTGAGAGGTGAGTTTCTCACTAACCATGTGGGTATTCTTTTTGTTTTTTTAATTTTTTTATTTTTTTTTGAGACGGACCCTCAAGCTATCCCCCTGGGTAGAGTGCCATGGCATCACGCTCACAGCAACCTCCAACTCCTGGGCTCAAGTGAGTCTCCTGCCTCAGCCTCCCAAGTAGCTGGGACTACAGGCGCCCGCCACAACGCCTGGCCTTTTTTGGTTGCAGCCATCATTGTTGTTTGGCGGGCCCGGGCTGGGGATTCGAACCCACCAACTTAGGTGTATGTGGCTGGCGCCTTAGCCGCTTGAGCCACACGCGCCGAGCCTTGTTTTTTATTTTTTGAGACAGAGTCTCACTCTCTCACCCTGGGTAGAGTGCTGTGGGCATCATCATAGCTCACAGTAACCTCAGACTCCTCAGTTCAGATGATTCTCCTGTCTCAGCCTCCTAAGTAGCTGGGACTACAGGAACCCACCACAATGCCCAGCTAGTTTTTCTATTTTTAGTAGAGACGGTGTCTGCTTGCTCAGGCTAGTCTTGAACTCCTGAGCTCAAGCAATCCACCCGCCTCTGCCTCCCAGAGTGCTAAGATTGCAGGTGTGAGCCACTGTGCATGGCCACTGTGGGGGTATTCTCATTCCCTGGTGGGTGCTCCTTTTGTTTTGAAAAACAGTTATTTCCAGTCACTTCCCGAGGTGGGGGTGGAGAGGGGTACTGCCAGCAAGTGATGTGGGCCCTCACTCCTACAGATTCAGTTCCCAGGGAGGTGGTCATTGCTAACTCCCCAGTGTCCTCACGCAGTAGGACAAGGGCACCGGTGGTGAGGTGCTTCAGGTGAGGTGCCTTACTCTGGAGATCCCATTTCCATAAGGGGAACAGTCTTCATTAACTCCTGGAGGATCCTCACTGGTGCCACGTATCTCACTGTGGACGGCCTCACCACCCTGGTGGTGGAGATCACCACCAGGACGTTCTCATTCAAATCCAAGACCCTCTCTCTGAACATACTACTCCCAGGGTGGGGAGCCCTCAGTAACTCGGGGTCATTCTCAATGGGGAAGGGGGCATCGAGTTCAGCGCGGCCCTCACCTGCGCAGAGTCGATTCCGGAGCCTGGGCCGCCACGGGCGTCCCCATCTCTTCAGCCGCCCAGCGACCCAGTTCCCGCGCTTCCTGCACTAGCTCCATGACAGATCCACGGCCTCGGCGAGCGCCTCCCGCGCCCTCTTCAAGTGTGGCGCACGCCTTTGACGTCACGAGTGCGCCAGCAGTGAGGCCATCTGTTGTCAGGTAGACAGCTGGCCCCGGCGCTGCCAAGTGCGGGAGCTGTCCATCTGGTGATGCAGGTCTTGCTCCTCCCGGAGTCGTCTTTGGGTGAAGACAAAACGATGTAGACTAGACGGTGACGCCGGCTCGCCTTCCCTTGTTCTCCTGCTCACTGTCACCTGTCACCCGCTCACAGAGCATGAGCTGGGTGTGCGATGCCCCTGGAAGCCTGGGGCTGGGGTTCTGGAGAGCCCTCCAGGCTAGGACAGAGGTCTAGACGTGCTGTGGGAGTGGGTACGGCCCGGAGCAGAGGAAAACTCAGTCTCAGGCCCTGAAAAGTGGCAATATTTAGAGACCTTTCGATAAGATTCAACATGATTGCCTAGGTGTCACCACTCTGTCCCCAGTGTTCTGTACAGAGCTTGGTTCTCTAAACACTGTTGAATAAACAAATAGGGGGAAAGGTGGTGGGGTGAGGCTAAAGTTGGGTACCCAGGGAGGAGGTTGGAGCAGGATGAGGAGTGGTGGGTGAGGATAGCACTGGGTTAAGGTTAAGCTGCGGGGCAGGCAGGAGGCGGCTAAGCAAATGAATGGATGACAAACTTGACGGGGGAGGGGGCGCTTTGGGTGAAGTTCAGGGATCTGGCCTGGGGATTGATGGCACAGATTCTGAAATGGGGGCCTGAGAGTAAGAGCAGCTTTAAGGGAGATGCTGAGGACAGTGTGGGCCTCTATAGGAGCAGGCGGGGATGGTAGTGGGCATCCAAGGGAAGGTTCGGGTCTCTGGCCTAAAAACAAGGGACAGTGGTTACCACTGACATAGCAGGTTTGGGGAAAAGCTAAGAAGCTTCAAATGCTTCTCAAGGATTGAGAAGGGGAAGAGAGAGTGCCAAGGGCTGATGCAATCCAGGTGGGCTTCCTGGAGGAAAGATTGGCAGCTGTAAATCCTTGATGCCTGTTTTCTTTGGTCTGTATATTTTTTTAAATTTCAGATGAATAGGAAGTATGACTTGGTTACATAGTTTGCTTTTGCAAGGTTAAAGTCCAAGTGGTAATGTCCTTCTCCTATGAAGTGTGCCATATACCTGTGCAGTGTACCCATTGGGTGAAAACTTGCCCATTCCCTCTCCCCCCTTGATGTCTGGTTTTGCAGTAACTGCCATTTCCCCCAAACATCTCCATCCTTCTATCCTGTGTGGAGTGTTTTGTTATTTTTTTAAAATCAATTATATGCCATGTCTACCATGTGTCTATGAACTTTTCAGGGGCTTTGAACTTGTTTCAGACCTTTAAAATGTATTGGCTGGCTCTGCCCCTGTAGCTCAGCAACTAGGACGCCAGCCACATACACCGGAGCTGGCAGGTTCGAATCTAGCCTGGGCCTGCCAAACAATAATGACAACTACAACCAAAAAATAGCTGGGTATTGTGGTGGGTGCTTGTAGTCCTAGCTACTTGGGAGGCTGAGGCAAGAGAATCCAGGAGTTTGAGATTGCTGTGAGCTGTGCCATAACACTTTACCCAGGGCAATAGCTTGAGGCTCTGTCTCAATAAATAAATAAATAAAATGTATTGGCTGTTATGAGAATAAAAAGATGAGTTACAGACCAGGAGAAAATATTTGCAAAACATATCTTGTAAAAGATTTGTATCCAAAATATATAAAGAATTCTTAAAACTCAACAATAAGAAAACAGACCAGGCACAGTGGCTTACACCTATAATCCTAGCACTCTTGGGAGGCTCAGGTGGGTGGATTACTTGAGCTCAGGAGGTCAAGACCAGCCTGAACAAGAGTGAGACCCATCTGTATTGAAAATAGAAATACTAGCCAGGTGTTGTGGCAGGTGCCTGTAGTCCCAGCTACTCTGGTGAAGCAGGAGGATAGCTTCAGCTAAGGTGACCAGATTTTAACATTGGTAAAGCGGGACAACATGGTGGGGGGGCAGGGGTGGGGCAGAGCAGGGCCTGACCAGAAGGCAAACTTTGATAAGCGGTTCTCGATAATCACTTCTCAACAATTATTTGTTATTATTACAGTTTAACATTATAAAATTAACAAAAATAACATAAAACTATTAATAAAAATAAGATAAAACTGGCGAAATAGCCACATGGCAGCTGAAAACTGTATATTCCCTTCCTGTTCTCCCCCCTGTTCTGTGCATTCTTTCCAAAAGTCGGGACTTTTAAAAAACGCCACAGGTCGCAGGACAAATTGTTAAAAAGCGGGACTGTCCCTCCAAAAACAGGACGTCTTGTCACCCTAGCTTGAACCCAAGAGTTAGAGGTTGCTGTGAGCTAGGAAGCCAGGGCCAGAGTGAGACTCTATCTCAAAAACACAACACAACAAAACAAAACAAAACAATCCAATTAAATGAGTAAAAGATAGTAATAGATACCTCACAAAAGAAAATATACAAATGGAAAATAAGCATATGAAAAGATGCTCAGCATTATATACATGTCATCAGGGCACTGCTAATTAAAACAACAATGGGCACTGCTAGACACTTACTAGAACAGCTAAAGTCCAAAACACTGACAACATCAAATGCTGGTAGGGATGTGGAGGAACAAAACATTTATTGCTTGTGGGAATGCCAAATGCTACAGCCCCACTAGGGGTAGGGAACCTGTCGCCTTAAGACTTGTGACCGGCCTTTTGACTCAATCCAAATTTTACATAACAAATCAGTTGCATGAAAGTTTCTTATGAGTGGCGGGTGACTCAGGTGTAGCATTTTGCAGGGAATCATTATGACGTAAAGGAGACTACCACTCCATGGCAGATAGCAAAAATCTGTATTTCTTCCCAGCTTAAACAGCCGGTGCCACGTGAACATGTTGTAAATGAATATTCATACCATTACCTCACTAACATATTGTAAAAAACAGACTTTTTTAGTGAGACACATTCTTCTAAATTATCTATTATACTCAAAATAGGAGCCGTGAAGAAGCAGACTGTTAACTCCCTAGCCCACTTTTTGATAGACAGAGAAACTGCTAAGGGGAAAAAAGGCCGATTGTTCTCAGCCTCAAGCCATCTGGAGGCAGTATCTTAACCTTGCAAAACCACAATTTAGAGATCCTGGTGACATGCCAGTGATGTGCCTGCACACTTCAGCCCCCTGGTCTGGGCGCAGGAATTTTCCTCCTTGGTGCCAAGCCATATGGAGTTCTGCCTCAGTCTCTCCTGAATTGTGCCAGGCAAGATTTCTACATGCTCACTCTCAGAAATGGCAGAGACAAAGACATATATGCTTTTCACCTACATAAATCCTTTTATTAAAAGAGGTACAGCAGAGAAAGATGAAGTTTTTCTTGCCTACTTTGTGCTTAAAAAAAGGGCCATCTTGAAATAAGAAGGCTGCAGTTTCCCCACCCCTGAGATCAATTATTTTATTAAAAGAGAACAAACCAGTGCTTTATGTAAAGATTCTACTGTTGGCTCGGCGCCTGTGGCTCAAGCGGCTAAGGCGCCAGCCACATACACCTAAGGTGGCGGGTTCAAATCCCCAGCCCCGACCCGCCAAACAACAATGACTGTATTGAAAATAGAAATACTAGCCAGGTGTTGTGGCAGGTGCCTGTAGTCCCAGCTACTTGGGAGGCTGAGGCAGGAGACTTGCTTGAGCCCAGGAGTTGGAGGTTGCTGTGAGCTGTGATGCCATAGCACTCTACCCAGGGGAATAGCTTGAGGCTCCGTCTAAAAAAAAAAAAGATTCTACTGTTGAAGGCTATGAAGCTTTCTTTTCTATATGCTTTGTGAACTGGCATACCTTTGTTATTTTTTCTGTTTGTTACTAGCATGTTAATAAACTTTGACACAAACATAAGATTAATTTCCCTGTTTTTAACCTACTGGTTACTTACATCGTATTTCATATATGATATGGGTGAATATTAATTAAGTTTTAACAGGTAGAGAGTGTGAACATGGTGGACTCTTGTCATTCTTGGGTGGCCTAGGATCTGAATTGCTGTCTGGCAGGCCTTCACCTTCAAAGATAAATTCCTCCTTATACGCTGAAGGGAGATGGCAGTTATATGCTCTCCTTGTGTCCCTTGTAGCCAAAGTCCCGGTATAGTCCATCTGTATTTTATTTTAATGTTTTTTTTTTTTTTTTTGAGACAAGGTCTCACTGGGATAGAGAGCAGTAGCATCATCATACCTCACTGCAACCTCAGACTCCTAGGCGTAAATGATCCTCCTGCCTCAACTTCCTGAGTAACTAGGATTGGAAGTGTGCACCACCATGTCTGGCTAATTTGTTTAATTTTAATTTTTTTCTTATAGATAGGGGTCTTACTGTGTTGTCTGGTTGGTCTCACTCATACCAAAACACCTGTGTTTTTCCTTTGCCCTGGACCTGTGACATTCTGGACTGGTTCTGTTCTTAGTCATGACTAAATATAACACATGTACAATAAATCATCTTTTCTGCTGTGTTAGCTAAAGAATCAATCAAACAAAAAACTGAAAGGAGAAAAAGACAAATCCACAATTATAGTTGGATATTTCAATACCTCTTATCAACAATTGGTAGAAAAATTAGAAAATCAGTAAGGTCGCAGAATACTGGATTGGACTTAACTGACACTTACAGAACATAGTTCTCAACCAGAATACACATTCTTTTCAAATGCACCACAAACAACTGTCAAAATAGATCAGCTTCTGGGCCATTAAAACAAAGTTCAGTAAGTTTAAAAGGAGTAAAGTTATAACAGTGTTCTCTGTGACCACAAAGGGATTACATTAGAACTTAATACTAGAAAGATACCTGGAAAATTCCCATATGCTTGGAAAATAAATATTTAAAGTTTCTTTTGGTTGAAAGATGAAATCAAAAGAGAAAAAGTGCTTTGAACTGAATGGAAATGAAAATATAAAATACCAAAATTTGTGGGAGGCTACCAAAGCAGTAGTTAGAAATTTATAGCAGTAGGCTTGGTGCCTATAGCTTAACCGGC